TTAAATGATGAGGGTTGTCACACTTGATGCATTTTAAAGACATTATATTTCCAATTATGGTATTGAAATATACTTTTTCTTGATATTGTACCTCCATTTTTAATGCATTAAAAATTTGGCACATGTAGAGTTTTACTATTTTATTATTTTTTAAATCAATAATTCAAAATAATTTGGAAAAACTACTCACATAACATGAGAGAGGGAGAAAAGGGCACCTGATCAGAGGACACAATGCAGATTTAACTACACTGGAAAAGCCATGAGTTTCAAACAGTGTGTTTGGTCCAAGTTTGTCGAGCTAGTTTTGTTGTGTATAAGGTAGATAATGACAACGTTGTACGGAGGATCGTCACATGTGAGCAACCGATAGTCTCGTGATATACATGCTCACTGTCTGCATTCAACATGAATGGCTATTATTACTTAATAAAATTTTTTACCCATGTAAATTTTTTTATTTTATTGTTATACATTATTTTATTATATTTATTTATACTTAATAGCTTCAAATTAATCGAGCCATAATTACTACTCTCCATCAACTTCAATATAATACCTACATAGATATTTTGTCAGGGTGTTTGAGTCGTGTATATCGATTAATTTTTTCTTCAGTCTGATTAAAAGTAAATTATTTAAGCTGAAATTAGAGTATTTATGAGAGATAAATTCTTCATGGTCTAACTCTATAAAATTGCCAAAATTTAAAATTAAAATATCTAAATTTACAATTCGTTCATACTACCATTTGAGTTACTCTCGAAATTATACCTATATATTTTTTTTTTTGTGGGTGCATAGAGTTATCCTACTAAATTTTATGAAACTTGCATTTTTGATGGGTGATCTCCCTCGGGGAACTTTCTGCCCATTGTGATGATCTTGCAATCATCAAATACAAAGCATCAAATCAACCTAAAAATAAAATATTATGAATCGAATCTTTGCTACGATTTAGTCTAAAGATTCTATTCCCAGACAGCTCTGAACTGTTCAATTTCAACAAATAAAGTTATCTATACACTGTATTTAACTATTTGTGGTGTCTCCATTGAGAATCAAGTTTTTTTGTCCATTCAATCATCGTTCAGAAGTGGAAGTGAGACCCAATTTTCATGCTATCATCGCCATGGTCGGCTAGTAGCTGCTGCTGCACACGTTTTCTCGTGGCTATGATATAAAAGGAATATAACAGTGAGCTATGCTTTCTTTAGTATAATAAAAAATAAGAAAGATAAAAAGTTGAAAAAGATAGATAAAATATAATATTTGATAAGAAAGAAAAATAATATGAACAAAAAAATAGATATATTAATTTTTCTTCTGTTATTTTTTATATTTTTGTGAGTTAGTAAAAGGAGTTTGACTTAGCAAATGGGTTAGTGGAATAGTATTAATAAGTTTTGTCCTACCTAGTTATCTAGGTAGTGGGGTCAAGGGGTTTAGTAGTTTTCTCATAGTTGTTATCCCATTGTATTTAAAGAGTTTATGGTTAATGGAAAAGTAATGAATATTGGTGATAAATTTTCTTGTAAAAAGCTTGAAAGACCAAAGTGAACCACGTGAGATTTGTACCCCATTCGATACAGGTTTTCTTTCATTCTTATTCTATTTTTTTTTATTTTCTAAATTCCTTAAAATTGTGCACGTTACACTTTTTAACTCACCAAAATTTATTCTTCTAAAATATAAAAGAAAAATAGAAGAAAAATTAATTATACGTATTGAAATGTTGTATGTTATTTATATTTATATATTTTAATATATGCTTGTTCTATTTATCTATTATCTATTAATTATATTAGTTATATATAAAAATATAATGATAAAATATGTATCTACTAATTATTGCTTGTGTCTGAAGGCATAAAGTAATTAAATTGGTAAACAATAAATATATTTATATTTATATTTAAAATCAAATAACAAACATAGAGAATAGATAAAAGAATTTAAGCTTTATAGTGGAGGTGAACGACAGTGGTAGTGGTAGGAGAAAATGACGGTTGTGGTGGATGGTAATGACCGTGATGGCGCTGGTGGTTGTGGCGACAACTATGGTTTTGGTGGTGGCGGCGGCGGTGGTGGTAGTGACAATGGCGGCAGTGGTGGTGGTGATGATAGAGATAATGGTGGGGCGGTTTCAAACACTATTTTTTTAAAAACAATCACTCTAAACACTCTTAAATACATATTTTTTCTATTAAATTTAGGATGTTAAGATTAATAATTAGATTAATTTTAAGGTAAAATTTAAAGTAATCTCAACTGCGAATAGCAAAAGTCATTTTATTTATCTTTTGAGATTTAAATTGTAAGTTATTTTATTATATAGATAATTTTTTACATTCTTTCACTTTTATATCACACCAAACACAGAAAATAATTCATACACAAAGAAGAGAATGATGGATTTCTCTAAATAGAAAATGTATTACTCACATTTTCTATCATTCTATTTTTTTATCCACCATCCCAAATATATCATTAGTGAAAAAGAGAGATACGTGAGTTATAAATTGTAACGTAATTAAGTTCAGGAAGTCTTTTGAAAAATTTACCGGTGCGGTGATATCTGATATGTATTACATCACTCTTTAATTCTATAGAGCCCAATATCTAGATTGGTTGTGGATCCCTCGGTGATCTGATTGTATCGGCCTAATAGTAATAATTCTACAGTCAACTATCGTACACCACTAGGGGGGTAACAATCGTCTCGTTTGGATTCGTGTCTTATTTAACTTATTTCATTAAACGTATCATATTAATTGATCAATTTATTTTCGTTTCAGATTAGTGTTTGTATTCGTGTTGACTCATATAAACCTCAAATAAAGAACTTAACGCTAAGATTTAAATTTAAAATTTTGTTATCAATTAATTGAATTTATGTTCATATTTTTTTTTATAAATTAAAAATTAATTTAAAAAACATAACAATAATAATAAGTAAAAATGTCTTCTTTGTACAATAATTATGTCAAAGCTTAATAAATAATAAAAAATAATTAAAATTTTATTTTTACAATATTAGTTAAACGTATTGATCGTGTCAATTTCGTGTTATTTGTGTTTGATACTAATTTAACTCATTTATTATTTGTATTAACAGATAGTATAATTTATGGGTTCTTGTTGAAAAATTATCAACCCTAACTCATTAATTGTGTATCAAATTTGAATAATATTTTCGCGTTGTTTAGAAAATTGTGACCCCTATACACCACACAAAACTAACTGAACGGGTAAGCTTTGAATGAGTCTTAATGAGCATAAATAATAAAAAGATCATAACGTTGGAAGTTTGTCTAGAATGCATAAGTTTGTTGGCCCCTAATACCTCCCTCCGACCTTGCTTGTCTCTTTCCAACTCTTGGTGCCTATTGTTTATGCACGAGATAATTCATGTAATCTTGTAAAGTAGCGATTTTTTGATTAGCGAACTTGAAAAGACGGGGTTAGAAGAAAGGGGGTCAGGCGTGAGTCCGACAGATCTCCTCCGAAACTTAAGTCAGTAAGATCGAAGGGTTATTTCTTAGTAGAAGTGCTCTAGTTTGATTTTGCGTACCTTTGTTTATTTTTCTGAAGGATATTTATACCTGAATTAGCAATGATTGCTCTAGATCTTCAGTCCCATCTGAACATCTCACATCTGACACCATCCCTCGTGCTGTGAATGCTTCTCCTTTACGCCTCCTCCAATTGAATGTCAGGGGAATGGTGTAAGTGCTCGGCCACAAGCCGAGCATTTATACTATGAGCCGAGTAGCTCAATCCAAAATGTTGGCGTCTGACACTGACAGAGCACGGACTACTCGACAAATCAGGGAATTCAGGAGAACCAATTGCGTTGTTTCGGCGCATCAGTCATTAATGCTCCAGCCATCATGACAGTAGGCATAGACTTGCAGAGAGCAGTTGACGTCAGGCTCGCATTTATTTGTCCTGTCACTATCACTCATTTTCGCAATAAATGCGAGGTCACATCGCTTTGATTATGATATCAACTGTTGTATTCGGCCGCTCTGTGTCGCCATGCTTCGGCTCACCCCCTCGGCATCTTCTAAACATCCTAATGATTTTATTGGGCCACGTGTCACCCTGGGGGTTGAGAATCCATACAGGAGTCCCGCCAACTGCCCCCCTAGCCGCAATCCCTTACGCGGCGCCTGACAAGTGGAGTGAAGGGATTGGGGCTCTATCACCATGCCTCATTAATGGCGACGATTTCTTGCACGTCTGGTGCCGCCCTTCTCAAATGTCCTAATGATGAGCCAACTCCTCGATTCTCGTTCCTTGTGAGGCATTATAAATAGGGGATTTCTTTGCTTTCTTAGAACTTTTGCATCCTCCATCTCTCCTCAGTAATCAGACCCCCGAGTGCTCTTCTGTCCTCCGAGTTTCCCTGATCCTTCGAGCTCTCTCCGAAGACCAATCTCCTGTAAGTACTTCCACTTGAATTTTTTCTCTCTTCGTTTCTTCTACATTTTGTCCTCTTAGCTCTCACCGATGGCCAAAACTAGTAAAATTAGGAGAGAAACGTCTGTTAGAGCCAGTTTACTACTTGAAGCTAACTGTAGGATGTTGGCAATTTTGTGAAGTGACGCAAAAAAAATTTATCCTTCGAGAATAATTTAATCTCGGAGTAAATAATTTATTTATGATCAAATTAAAAAAAATTAATTAAAATAGACATAAACTAATCTGAAAAATACTTTTAGCCGTTAAAAAAAAAAAAAAACTAACTGCTTGATGTTGCTTCCGACGGAAGAGGCTATTTGGCGAGAGATCGGGCCAGCTGGGAGCAATGTTAATACTTTAATCCTCAGGTCAACTTTCAAAAATAGAATAAAGAATTCAATAATTCAAAGTTTCGATCATAGATTTGGACTTAATTAATTTGTGACAAAAAATATTACAAATTATAAAGTGCAGTAAAATAATTAAGTAAAAAAAAAAAGAATAAAATAGGTTTTGACACACAAGTCTAACGTATGCCGCAGGTATTTCCACAGTTTAGTCGCCGTCCTCCTTTGTCTTCTCTTCTCAGGTATTTTCTGTAATTTTCAGACAGTCTTAAACTACATTTTCCGCGTTGTTGCTCCTTAAAAAGCAAGCATTTTGATATCGTACTCTCACTTTTTCCACTCCTCTGTTTCCATCTTCCACATCTACCCCATCTTCTATACTGCCAACCTTTTTTCCTCTCAAAACCACTCCCAAACCTCTGAATCTTCCATACAAAGAGAGGGGTTCTCACTCTTTCCTGTTATTCAAGACATACCCATAAAGCTTTTGCAACTGATTTAGGGATCTTTTTCTCTATCCGGATTCATGGGTGGTCAATTGAGCAAAAAAGCTGAAAAGGGTTCTCACCCACAGCTGGAAATGATCTCAGATTCGCAGGTTACGCCGGATCTGAGCTCATACGAGGCCGCATGTAGAGCCGATCCAGACCTTCAATCCTTCGATTGTACTCTCCAGCAACGCACCAGCCGAGTTATCAACACTCTTGCCAATGGCGTCGAGGTTCGATCTCTTACCCTAGACTCTCTCGGAGAAGTCACCGAGTGTTTACTTGAAATGAATCAGGAAGTGGTGAAAATAATTTTAGATAGCCAGAAAGACATTTGGAAAAACCCAAAACTTTTTGATCTAGTTGAGCTCTATTTTGATAACAGTCTTAAAACTCTAGATTTCTGTACTGCACTCGAAAAACGTCTCAAACGATCTCTCGACAGCCAGATTATTATTGAACTCGCATTGAAACGATTCGAGAAAGAACATAGAGAAGGGTCACATAATGTAGAAAATTCATTCTCCAAGACTTTACAAGAATTGAGAAATTTTAAGGTTGCGGGTAACCCATTTGACGATGAATTTCTCTTGTTGTTTCAATCAGTTTACAAACAACAATTGATTATGCTACAAAAGTTGCAAGTTCAAAAGAGTAAACTTGATAAAGAACTGAAGTCTGCGAAGACATGGAGGAAGGTGTCAAATGTAATTTTTGGGGTTACTTTTGTGGCAGTGTTGATTTGCTCGGTGGTGGCAGCGGCAATTGCAGCACCACCAGTGGTGACAGCATTGGCAGCTGCAGCATCTGTGCCATTGGGGTCAATGGGTACATGGATTAAGTCGATTTGGGATAAGTATGAGAATGAAATCAAAGGGGAAAGAGCGATAATTAATTCACTGGACATTGGGACTTATGTTGTGATAAAGGACTTGGATAGCATAAGGGTGCTTGTGGATAAGTTGGTAATTGAGATCGAGTCGTTGTTGCAGAAGGCAGAATTTGGTCTCAGTGAAGAGGAGGGTGTGATGTTGGTGGTCGATGATATAAGGAAGAAGCAGAGTGTGTTTATGCAAATCATTGAGGACTTGAGCCAGCGTACTGCAACGTGTAGCCGTAATGTAACGAGGGCTAGGACGATGATCATGCACAAGATTATCAACAATCCTAGCAGTAGTACTAGCTGCTGAATTAGTACTTTGGTATGCTCTACTGCTGATAAAGACCTTGTTTGTGATCTCATTTTAACTTTTATATTCTCAGTTGTAAAAATTTTAATTCAAGAATGTTAAAAATTAGATGGTAAACAAGACAAAAAAATTTATCGATAGAGACGTGTAGTCATTGTCCTTAAGAATAGATTTTCACCTCTCTGAATTTGAAACCCATTGCAACATGTTATGGTGTCCTATCTTCTAGGATTCAACTATCGCTTCTCCATAAGCATGCACTTGCAAATGTAGAGGTGTCTCGAACAACTCTTGATCGTTCTCAAATCGAATGACAAAGTAATAAAACAGTATACTTAGATTGGATTGCAGAAAAGTTTAGGTATAAACTATTGAAGGGGTTCACAAAACCTACTGTTCTAAATTGAGCTTTTGACCCATCTCATGGAATTTTAAAAAAAAAAAGTCCCAAATAATAGTGGTTTTGAAAGTAATTTTCAAATACATGCAGTTTTTAAAAACGTCAAACAAACTGACATTTTTAGGTTAAAAACGTCAAATGGACTGACATCTGTATTTTAAAAACGTCAGTCCATTTGACGTTTTTTAGTTCAATACTGTAGATCAGCTCATGAACTTAAAAACGTTAATTGGTGTAACACCTTTATAATAGACGTCAAACTGTTTGACGTTTTTAACCCCTCGCGTTTAAACATTTCAATCCATGTAGTGTAGTCGCAATTTTTGACCTTTAAGTTGGAGTACAACAAACAAATGAGTTTATTTTTATGTTGCTTTAATTTATATAATTATCATAACTGTCTATTAGTTTAGATAATTATTACAACTGTCCCCTAATTTTTATCTTGAGTTTTAATTTAGTCCTTAGTGATAAGGTTTTTGCCTTTTTTTATGAGTAAAATGTTAAATGTTTATTTAATAAAAAAATTAATTAATAATTTTTTTTGATATTTTAAAAATACATAAAAAAATTTTGTTATGTATTTATAAATGTAATTACATTGAATAAATAAATTTTGATAATTTAAAAATACTTAAATTTCTGACGTTTAACACATCACTCCACCGCTAGTCCATCTCATTCAAATTAGGCTATTTTATTATTTTTTTTGCTCCTTTTTTTTTGTAAAAGGTCACCTTATTTTTTTATCACTCTACTTAAACATATATATATATAATTAAATTTAAGATCTCATATAAACTATAAGCGTTACACCAAATCTTTTTTCCTCTAGATAAATAAATAAGGTGATTTTTAACAAAAAAAAAAAAGGAGCAAAAAATTAAATAAAATAGCCCAATTTGAATGAGATGGACTGGCGGTGGAGTGATGTGTTAAACGTCAGAAATTTAAGTATTTTTAAATTATCAAAATTTATTTATTGAATATAATTATATTTATAAATACATAACAAAAAAATTTATGTATTTTTAAAATATCAAAATTTATTTATTAATTAATTTTTTTTATTAAATAAATATTTAATATTTTACTCATAAAAAAAGGCAAAAATCCTATCATTAAGGACTAAATTAAAACCCAAGATAAAAATTAGGGGGCAATTATAATAATTATCTAAATTAATGAACAATCATGATAATTATATAAATTAAAATAATATAAAAATAAACTCATTTGTTTACTGTACTCCAACCTAAAGGTCAAAGATTACAGCGGCACTACATGGATTGAAATGTTCAAACGCGAGGAGTTAAAGACGTCAAACGGTTTGACGTCTATTTTAAAGATGTTAAATCGACTAACGTTTTTAAGTTCATGGGCTGATCTACAGTATTGGACTAAAAAACATCAAATGGACCGACGTTTTTAGAATAAAGACGTCAGTCCATTTGACGTCTTTAGCCTAAAAATATCAGTTCGTTTGATATTTTTAAAAACTGCCAGTATTTGAGAATTATTTTCGGATTTTTTTTTCAAAAGCCATGGGATGGGTCAAAAGCTCGTTCTAAACTCGTTGAATATCCCTCTGATTTTTGTTTTCCTTTTGTGTGTGTTTTATTTATCTTTTTTAATACAATCGGGTGTCCTGAAATAGCAGTGCTCATTCCCAATAGCACAACAGTAGGCTTACAATTTTTGATGGGCCGTGAAGTGATGCATTTGTTCACAGCTGGTGAGTGACCAACGAACAACAACTACCACCATTGCTATGTGAAGTTTATTTCTATATTAATTGATGGGACTCTTCTGAAAAGCCCTAAGATGATGACACGTGTCCTCGGGATATTTGGAACAGTGTTGCCTGGATGTAAGCACCATCGGCGAAGAGCGTCCTTTACCCCGAGGTACCTCTCATATAGGATCACACATTCGGTATGTTATACAACAAACACGTGTCCTCGGTCACACGTGTACCTCGGGGACACACCACCCCCTTGGTCCCGAGGTGAGCCTTTCCTCGGCGCCGAGGGTCACTCCATCCTGGACGCTTCCTCTACTCCCGGATATGGCTACTGACATACTGGACATCAGCCTATGCCAGTATGGATTAGTCATCATGACCTCTTCTTACACAAGTAATGTCAGAACGTTCTGGAATACCGACGTAACAGCCAATAAGGGATGGACGCGTGGCAAATAATGTCACATCCGAAGCAGACAAACCGCATGCCGCTGCTGACACGCGACTTGGGAAAGCAAACAATTAATTGCACCCTTCTGTTGACGAGACCGCATTCAATGCGGTAAGGTTCGGATATGAAAGGCAATAAATGCTCCTATTACAGAGCATTTATTGCATCCTTCCTGACAGGAGCATATTGTACCGTCGGCGTCCCGACAGACTCAGCATTGATTGTTCGGGACCCCGAGCAATCAATTAGAGAAGACATTCCTCATCAAATGATTACACACGCTACCTGTGCCTGATGATTACCTACTGACCACACTGACAGCAATCATGATCTTCTAAGGTATAAATACCCCTCCCAAAAGACAAAGCGGGTATGCAATAAAAAACTCTCAACTACAAAATATCCTTCTCAGTGTTTTCTCCTTCCTCTCTCTCATTCAAAGACTGACTAGACCGTCGGAGGGGATACGCCGGAAAACACTCCGGCGCCCTTCTAACTTGTTCTCCTTTGTTCCAGGAAATACCTTCCACACGTACAGGATCGTTCCTCCTTTCCCAGGATCACCCTTTGCCGTTTCCGGTTGCCACCGTACCTTGTAGGCTGTTTCAAGCAGCGTGTTTGGCTACTCAACCGGCTCACCCAAGGTTCACCAGGGGAGAGATCTGTTCCCAATATTTTATATATCGTGCAGGATCGAGCCCGCACAATCTGGCGCCGTCTGTGGGAAACGAGTAGTTTTCCTAATCTCTAAAAAGAACAGTGACCATGGTGAACACCAGACAGAAAGGGAAAGGACCCCACCAACGGAGTCATGAGTTGCAAGCTCCCTGCCATCACGGAGGGAGGGATCGCACCAGTACGATTAAAAGTGCCTCTACTCGGTCAAGGGGGGTAACCCCTCAAACCAGTATGGGGATCAGGTCAGGAGGATCAGCCCCCTTGGCCCGTCAGCTGGCAGAGGTGATTGAAGAGAAATTTGGCGATAGATTACGTCAGCTGGAGAAGGACAATGTAAACGTCCTTAGCCGGCTCGACGAGTTTGCTGCCTCAGGCGGAGGGTCGAGGGATTCATTCCTCTCCCGAGGACTCCCCGTCCATGAGGCGGAGACGAAGGATCTAAGGAACCACCTGGATCACAAAGCAGAAAGCTCCAGGGCCCCGAAGCGACCCAAAGCCGGCGAATGTCACCTTGACAACCATTCCAGGAAAGCAAGGCCCTTGGCCCTGGACGACCTCCGGCGAGGTTTATCCAGACGGAGGAAGGGAGATGAATCCGAGGAGGACTCAACCCAATCTACACGACGCCCAGGAAACGAGGGGCTTACCGACGAACCCAGAGACTTCAGGAGGCATCCCGTAAGGGAAGAAGTAGATCTCAGAGCCCGATTGGACTCCAGGAGAAAGGGCAAGACAATCCAGGACGAGGCCGAGGATGAAGTCATGCAAACACCCTTCACAAGGGAAATCAGTGAGATGGACGTCTCAAGAAAGTTCGTCGTGCCACGGTTCAAGACCTATGATGGGCGCTCTGATCCCGATGCCCATATCAGACAGTATAAGCAGATGATGTCCCTCTATCATTCGGACCAACGGTTTCTATGCCGGGTGTTCCCTATGAGCTTGGGGGACTCCGCGATGAGGTGGTTCGAGGCGCTTCCCTCAAACAGTATTGGGTCCTGGAAAGAATTGACAAGGCAGTTCCTAACCCGATTCATCACGGGGAGTAAGCGCCAAAGGACATTGGATCACTGCTGACCCTCAGGAGGAGGGAATCCGAGACTCTTCGCCAGTACGCCATCCGATACTGGGAAGAAGTCAATGAGGTCGAGGGATGCTCGGAGGTCATGGCAGCAGCATCATTCCGGCTCGGCTTGGCGAGGGACACGGACCTGTACCGATCCCTGACCAAAAAGACTCCCTCGGATATGGGGGAACTGATGGCCCGGATCAACAAGTACTCAAGGGTCGAGGACGAGATGGGGAGCAACAAAGGCCGAGCCCTCCAACCCAAGAGAAAGGAAAGAGAGCACGAAGATATTCCCCGGAAGGGATTGCTACCCCGTCCAGGGGGTTCGTCCAGAGGAGTTCACACCGTCTTCAAGGAACCCATTTTCAGGTTGCTCCATAAAATCAAACGCGAGCCGTTCTTCAAATGGCCGCCCAGGATGCAAAGCGACCCCTCCACCCGTGATCAAACAGTAAGGTGCTCTTATCACCGGGAGGTCGGGCATCGCACCGAGAGCTGCAGGGTGTTCAAGTCATTCTTGGAGAACTTAGTCCGAGATGGATACCTGAAAGAATACATAGAGCCTAGGCCAGAAGAAAAACGAGCCCCTGCCCCGACCGAGGAACCAAACAACGTCATAGACGTCATCCATGTGTGTCCACTGGAGCGCCCCACGTCCAAAGAGCTCGAGTCCGACCTCAAGAGGGTAGCTTTTACCAGAAAGGTAGCCGAAGGAGGTGTGGGGCCATCAAGCAAAAGGGCCAGGATGGGTGAACTTGGCATTACGTTCTCTGACGCGGATTTGACGGGCGTGGTGATTCCTCA